AGAATGGCCAGACTTCATCTCACCTATTTTGGTCATGTTGTCAGAAGGGACCATTCCCTGGAGAAGGATGTCATGCTTGGTAGGATGGAGGGTCGACGAAAGAGAGGGAGGCCTTCAATGAGATCGATTGACACGGTGGCTGTGATGATGGGCTCAAGTATAGCAAGGATTGTGGGACTGGCGCGGGATCGGGCAGTGTTTCGTTCTGCTGTGCATGGGGTTGCTATGAGTTGGAAACGACTCGACGGCACTTAACAACATAACAACATATTTGTAGTCATATTCACCTCAACCCAGCTTATGCTAATTATTTTTTAGTGTCTTAAAGGTATCTAATTTATATTCTCCAGACTCCTGCATCTTTCCAAAAAAAGATAAACTCACTGCCATCTAGTCGGATGCAACTCATAGCAACTCCTCCTTGGGTTTCTAAGGCGATATCACTATGGAAGTTGATTCCCCAACCTCCCTTCTGAGGAGTGGCTGGTGGGTTTGAACTGCTAGCCTTCTGGTTAGACGCTTTCCCAAGAGTTTTACTTTACCATTCTATGAAAAGCTTAACCTTGAGCATGTGGTGTTTACTTATTTGATATACAGAATAGAATTTACTCATTGTATTTTTGCTATAGAAGATTGAATTTTAATTTACTAATTGACCTTGTAATATTTAACACACTGGCTGTGACATACTGATGCCATAATTCATTCAATCAGCATTAAATCATGTTGTATACTGCCCAATCATTCAATCAGTGTTAAATCAGTCTTTTCAGATTCTCTTGGGATTCAGAAAAAAAAACTCTGTCTCCCCACTGCATCAGTTATGGAGCAAATAAAAATAAATGGTGATTATTGCAGAAGCATAAATAAATTTATATGAAGAAAACTTTAAAATCCTGTTTAAGCTAAAAACAAAGACAAGAACAAATGGAGAGTTATGTGATTGAAGAAAAAGACTCTATCATAAATCAATTCTCCATGAATTAATTTGTAGATGTAATAAAATTACCAACAAAAATGTTGGAGTTGGGCCAGGAAAAAACTAGACAAGATGATATGGGGTGGGGAGAAGCAAAAAGCAAGTTGTTCTGGCTGTTTGCATATGGCCACATCTAGTAGAAATCCAATCTTATGATTTAATAAAGCAAGGGGTAGGGTGATAAAGAACCTGTAGGGTTGGTTATGGTTATGGATCAACTTGGGTGGGCCATGATTTTGAGTAATGAGGCCACTGGTTGTAGTTATTCCCTGTGATAAGATTGGATGTTGTGTAATCACCATGGTAGAATCTGCTGTGAGCAGTTAATCATTTGAAGGAGAACTCCAGGATGTGGCCTGCTTCCAGTGTATATAGAGAAGCTTGAGAAAATGTGCTTTTTGGCACATTTTGGATCCTGCATTTGGCTGAATCTTCATCTCCAGTTCCTGGACTTGAACCAGTGGCCTGCCATGTTGCCTGCTCTGATCTTGGGATTGTGTCATTTTACATGCCAAATTTGGGTTCATAAGGCTCAGCAGCCAGCAGCTACATGAGTTATGAGAAGCCTCCAGCTTCAGTGGGCCTGGAACAAGAGGCAGAGCTAATCCCAAGGTTGACAGCCCTCCACAGCCCCTGGAGCTGGCACTCTGAATTCAGACTTCTAGCCTCCTAAACTGTCAGAGAATAAATTCCCATTTGTTAAAGCTATCTGCTTGTAGTATTTTTGTTACAGCAACAGTAGAGAACTAAGACTTGGTGAAGTTTTTACTCATATTATGAAAGTATTTTTAAAATGTAGACTGAGAAAGTTATTGTACCCATGGGAATCCATTTTTTCAATTCCTATAGATGCTGCCCAATTTCTTTCCAAAGTGACTCTACCAATTTATACTATCATGAACAGTGTATGATAGGAGCTATTTCCCCAGCCCTCTGCTGATATTGTATATTATCAGTCTTTTACATTTTCACTAAACATATGGGTCAAATTAAGATGCTGTATCACTGTTACTTCAATTTGTACTTTCCTGATTACTCTTGAGGTTAAGTATCTTTCTGCATACTTGCTTGCTCTATGTATTTCCTTAGTTAATTGTCTCTTTGAGTTTATTTTTAAATTCAGGTCTTTCATGAATGAGAAATTTTTTAATATATAAACTATGTGAAAAAGTGTCTGATATTTGTTAGGTTAGACTTAAGCTGCCATTAACAAATACTCACCAAAATGGTATAATGGTTCAATTACAATAGAAATTTATTCTTATTAACAGCTCATTATAGGTATTCCTAGTAGTGGGTGCATAGTGGCTAAGACACTTGCCTGCTAACCAGACGGCTGGCGGTTCAAACCCACCAGCCACTCCTCAGAAGGAAGGTTGGGCAATCCTACTTCCGTAGTGATACTGCCTCGGAAACCCAAGGAGGGGTCGCTATGAGTCGGGGCCAACTCGACGGCACATAACAACAACAACAGTAGTGGGTAACACCTGCTTCATGGAGTAATTCAAGAACTCAGGCTTCTTTCATCTCATGTCTCAGATATAACCTAGGGCATCTTTGTTGGCATCTAGACAGTGGAAAGAGAAAAAGCATTACAGAGGCACCAAACCAAACTCACTCGCATTGAGTTGATTTGACTCATAGCGACCCCTCCTTGGGTTTCTGAGGTGGTATCGCTATGGAAGTTGATTGCCCAGTCCTCCTTCCAAGGAGCGACTGGTGGGTTTGAACCACCAGCCTTCTCGTTAGCAGTCAAATGCCTTAGGCACTATGCCACCAGAGCTCCCTAGAGAGGTAGACCCAACTTAAAAACCTTGACCAAACATGGAACACATGACTTATAATAGTGCAGCATTGCCAAGAGCTAGTCACACAACTGCACCTAGATGCACAGGGCATGAGAAAAGATGTCCCTGGTTTTGCAGTCACTTTCCAGTTAAAAACCTATACTGTACACCACTCATCTGTCAGTTTGTTGTACTGTGGTGGCTTGTATGTTGCTCTAATACTGGAAACTACACCACCGGTATCTCAGATACACACAGGGTCATCCATAGTGGACAAGTTGCAGCAAAATGTCCAGACTAACACACTGGGAAGAAGGATGGGGCCATCCACTTC